GGGGCGGGCTGGGGGTGGATGGCGGGGTTAACGAAACTCCAACTGTGTTAGTCTCAGGTGGATCAGGCACAAAGAGGAAGGTGATGGCTCAACAGGGCTCAATTAGTTCTCTTTGACAAAAAAGAGGAGGTCAGGACAGGGGGCAGAACAGAGCAGGCTGAGCCATGGTGTAGGTGAGTTTCTAGGGTGGTGGGAGTGAGCTGTGCTTGTATGGGTTAGTGCATGTGAAGGGGAGTGGTAGTCACACACACAGCACACACTGCATCTCCGCCCATAAAGTCTCATTTGGGATACGTTTGGCGTAATCTTTTTGTCAACCACTGTTGGTATTTCAGAGCAAACTGCTGCCTTCCTTCGCCCCATTTAATATTTCTGGAAGAAAAAAAAAGTTGTCAGTTGTAAAAACTGTGACATACCATTTCACCATCATGACAACTAGAATAAATACACCCGAAACATCTGACTGACACCCAGCAGAGAGGCGGAACTGCTTCACTTCCTGTTTCTGTTAGGGTTTGGTATTTGTTCCCTCCATTTCATGGATGTATGAGCTGTGCTTACTCTCTGTGACTGCCAGGTCTCTTCCGCTGTGGAATAAGAGATAAGAGAGGAATCTGTGCTGGGCCTCATATGTTGGGAAAGGAACTGGAGATGGCCTGCCTGTATCATAACTAGGACATTAAAAGCTACATTAACATGCTATCACTGTGTATAAGAGGTTCCTTCCTGGCAGTTCCTGGAAGTGTAATAAGATATAGAGAATTAAAGGGTGTATGGCTGATAGTGTTTCCTCCTCCCTGGTGGACAACATGTCCCCTGACTTCACTGTGTGGGAAAACACTGCAGAATTTGCTGCAGTGAACGCCTCCCCTCTAACCGACATTGGGTATGCTTGTGTCCCTGCAGTATTATGGTGCAGTAAGACTCTACACATGAACATGTATATTGATTTGAGGGATTAGCTGATCTATGAAGCTTGGAGAAAGCAGGGAAATAAAATGCACCCTAAACTTGCTGCCTGAGAAATACTCTTGCTCAGCCTCAACACAACCCCTTTTAGAGTTTATTTTTCATCTCATCAGAGGGGCCTGATCAAGGGCAGCATGTTTTGTTTGTTTTTTTTAAATCACAGAGAGGTAAAAAAACAAAATAAAAACAGGAAGGGCAGGTCGGATGAGGCACCAGTCGCAACTGCTAACACTAATAAAGAGATTAGTTCACAATGGGCTCAACAAAGGTTAGAGGGCGGAGATGTGGCGCAAACTGCGTGTTGAACAGATGAGTGCACCAAAAGAATAGACAGACAGACGGATGGAAGCAACGACGGCGAGTCCAACAGCAGTGCAAGTGGAGTGAAGGCATTTCCATACGAACCTGGCTTTAAAATACTGGGCTGTCAAAAAAACAGTCACACGTGACACAACGTAAGAAACCAGCCAAACGCTTTCAACTGCAATTCTGCTAGCTTCTCTAGTTCTTAAAAATGCAAATCTCACTCTGCTTTTAAACAAACATAATACTGTATACAAACAGAAAAGGTAGGCATGTCAATAAATCCACCAACTGACTGTTAATACAGGAGAAAGAAAAGTAGAAAATGTTATCCAAACAAAAGAGATCTACAAGAGGGGGTGTTTTCAAAAGTGTGCACTGTGCTGTCATTGGCACAGTGCATGGCAAAAGATATGGGTCAGGGAAGTGATATGCAGGGGACCCCACCTCGAGACCTCAGAGTATTTAGGAATCGTATTGCTTCTGTCTGTTCAGCCATTTATATGTGTGCAGTATGGGGGTGTTTGTGTGTTTAGACTGCCAAGGAGGATGTAACACGGAACAGGCATATTAATCCACGGAAGCGACTAAATGAACCCAAATTACATATCTTGTGTAATTTTCCTTGGATGACAGCTCTCAATAACAACATCGGCTCTCAACATCTGAGATTTTGCACGATCTGAAAAGAAAACTGAGACAGCCTTTAGGGATCTGTCCTGCAAAAAGTGGGCTGCTGCAGTTACTCATCATCCTCTCTCGTGTCCCTGAGGAATGTCTTTTGGCAAGTGCTGATGGTGGACAGGGCCTGCTGTCTGTTGCTCCTCATAAACTCTTTCAGCTCCCCATGTTTGGTGCTCTGTACATTCCTGGTCAGTCTCAGCTACTGCAGGTGTGACTAAATGGAAACAACTGTCTCAGTGCACCAAGAGCCAAACGACTAAAACAGAAGGCTCCTACATCTCAGTGAATGGAGGTACGTGTCTGATTGAACTTGATGGGGATTGAAGATTTCATTAACTAACTGATGGGGCAAATGACAGAGAAGCAGAGTCCAATTAATATAACTGTTTAAAGATATACAATAATTCAAAGATACATACTTACCTCATAATTCTGAAGACCCAATTCATCAACTGGAAGTTTATCAAAGTGTAGTTACATTAAAAACACGGATGGCCAAAGTTTGAAGGGGCCTCCAATGTCTTTAAACAAAGGAACACTCACATTCCCACTGACTTTGAAGTAAGGTAGTCGGTAGTTTGTTTGTTTTTTTAAATCTCCACTCTTACTCCATTGTTGATTTAAAAAAACATTCAGAGGCCTGAATGACCCTGAACCCATCACCCCCGTTGTTCACTTAGACTGGTGCTACATAAAGAGCATGCAGTGTTGTAAAAAAATGATGGTCAGGATTTTAATACGTAATACATGATCGATGTCGAACAGTTAACAGTGACAAACAGCCATGTCAAATAATGTCTGACTATAGTGCAAAAGGTTACACACTTCATAATTCATTAACAGCTGAAACACTAATACTAAATATCCCATTTCTGTTCTGTTCCACTTAATGTAACCAAAGTCCTAATGGGCTAATTAGTAATGAGTACAAGACAAAAAGAAATACGCAGCAAAGTTGTTGCCAAGAAAATCAATCTTCCTGTGGCCTGTAAACATGTGTTTCTTAGATTTCTGGGGCATATGTGTGGTGTCTGTGGCTCTGAGGCAACCCGCTGCATATCGCTCTGGGACAGTGTCAGGTAAGGGGAGGAGGGGAGGTTGGAGGGACTGGAAGGGGAGACGTGGGAGGAATGAGTCTAGGAGGAAAATTGTAGTAGTGATTAGGACAGTGTGTTGAGAGAAAAATAGTACTGAATGCTACCAAGTTAACACATGCAATGCAAAAACAATGTTAGAGAGAAAGAGCAAAGACTAAAGGGGAAAGACAGAAGAAAAAAGATCCCAATAAAAGTACCACAGACCTCTAGCTGCCTATAAATCACACACAATAAGTGGCTGGGGAGGGGCTCCGAGAAGCTGGGCCGAAGCATTCACCAACAGTTCTCAGATGTAACACTTGTGGACAACTTCCAGAAATCCTAACACCTTAGAGGGTTGCACTACGGAAGCAGGGGCAGACCTGTGTACCTAAAAACATTGTTACATACTGCATGTTAGTCTATGTGTTTTAACAATTCATGTAACATTTTACTTGAAATGTACTTAAAACTTGTCTACGGGTCTATTTTGAGGCTAATAATTTTGGCAGATGCTGTGAGGCATTTGGCTTGTTAGTACATTTTGCCTTTCAGACAGGAATTGTGTCATGTGTATAATGAAAACGCTCCTGATGTTATGACAGGTGTCACCAAATCCTCTAAAATGATCTTCAGTGTTAACAGTTTTAATTGGTGGCAAACTTTCATGGTTACTTGCCTGTGGATAAAAAGTCTGCCACCTTTTTCTTTGGGCATGCACTTTCCAAAGAGAATATGTCAGGTGTGCAAGTATTGTTATTATTATTATTATTGGTGACTAAGTGACAGCTGACAGCACCTCTGATGTGGCCATTTTTCCACAGATGTGTGAAGAACTGTGTGATGCTGCAGCTCGGCCCTCAGTGCCCCTCCACAAATAATAGCGCAGGAGTAAAAGAGCCACTCAAGCCAGGTGAGCAGGCCACCTCTCTCCCTTTCTTTTCTCCCTCTCCACCACCTACACACAAAGTGCATCATACATAGAACTCAACCGGGATATATTCATTTTGAATGTTCTTGGTTCAGTTGATTCTAGCAATGGAAAACACATTTTCAGGGTGCTATGTAAATGGTGTTTTTCTTTTCAAGCAGGACATATAAAGATATTGTCACGATTAGCATGGATGACTGAATTTTCTCTTAAAAACACAAAATTCAACAAGACAACTGTTAAAGTGCACTGAATACTCAGTCTCATCTAATTTAGGTCCACCAGAAAAGCCAATGCATGAAAAGGTTTAATATTTAGAATGTGTCTTAGCAAGCTATTATTTTCAGTTTTTATATTGTTTTAATATATTAAGACATTACTTGTTTATTCATGATTAAAATATCTAATTTACTTATGCTGTAAAATAGTCATGTCAATGTTTTTAAATATTGCTTTTACTGAGGAAAAATATGGCTGTTTTTATAAGATCTTAATGATACATAAATTTTGTATCATTAACATGGCTGTTAGTTATACATCAATGTTCAATACATGGGTGGAAAAACAACTACACCATTATTTTTGATCTATGGTTGCTGATCCTATCCTATCCTAAACTGGAGGAGAGGTGACCCGACACTGTATGTAAGAGGAGTTTGGGCCTGCTCACCACAGTGCTTCAGAGACAGAAGAGGGGATGGAAAGAGTGGGAAAGACAGAAAGAAGAGAGCTGCCTGCGCTATTATCTTTGTGCCTCTTCAGCAAAAAATGCAGTCCCAGTTGCACAAGCACCATGCCAGCACAGAATGACAGAGGGTACTGTACACCGAATCACTGTGTAGTAGGGAGGGAGCAAGAGAGGTAGAGAGAGAGAA